TTATATATTTTTTATTTTTTGAGATGGAGTTTTGCTCTTGTTGCCGTGCAATGACACAATCTCAGCTCACCACAACCTCCGCCTCCTGGGTTCAAGCGATTCTCCAGCCTCAGCCTCCTGAGTAGCTAGGATTACAGGCATGTGCCACTACATATGGCTAATTTTGTATTTTTAGTAGAGACAGGGTTTCTCCATATTGGTAAGGCTGGTCTAGAACTCCTGGCCTCAGGTGATCTGCCCACCACAGCCTCCCAAAATGCTGGGATTACAGGCATGAGCCACCATGCCCAGCCATATATATATATATATATATATATATATATATATATTTCTTATGAATGTCTATTGAAATCTTTTGCTTATTGCTTTATTGGGTTATTTGTCTCATCATCAAGAGTATGACTTTTTTATATATCCTGGATACAAGTCAAATTTAATTATGGCACATATTTTCTCCTTTTCTGTGACCTTCATCATTTTTATAATGATGACATTTTAAACAGATTTTTGAGATATAATTGACATACAAAAAACTACACACAATAAACTAATTGACATACAATATACATACAAGATGTAATTGACATACAATAAACTACAAACACAATATAAAATCTTATCAGTTTTCACATCTGTGTACATCCCTGAAACACTCTGTAAAATCAAGTTAATGAACATATTCACCACTACCCATGCTTCCTGGTGCCCCTTGTGAATGCCTCCCTACCAGCATTCTTTCCCCATCCTCAGGCAGCCATTAATCTGCTTTATATCACTATAAGCCATTTTATATTTTCTATAATCTTATATCCATGAAATCATATAGTATGTCTTCTTTTTGTCTTCTTCATGAGCATAATTATTTTCAGATGCATCACATTGTGTAATAATCTGTCTCCTTTTATTGCTGAGTAGTAGTCTGTCATATAAATATAGCACCTTCATGTATTTATTTACCTGTTAATGAGCATTTGGGTAGTTTCCAGGTTTGGGCCATTAAAAATAAAGCTTCTATAAACATTTGTATAAAAGTCTTTGTGTGCACATGTGATTTCATTTCTCTTTGGTCTAAAATCAACGACCTCAGCATCCACCTTAACATACAGGGAAAAAAAATCAGTGAAAGGTAGAATAAGTAGATGAAGGCAAATAAAAATTAGAGCACAAATCAATGAAATAGAAGGCAAAAATAATGGATAAAAATCAATGAAAACAAAATCTGTTTGTTGAGAAGATAATAATAGATAAAATTCTGGCAGACTGATCAAAGAAAGAAGAAAGAAGACACCAAAAGTTATAGGTCTATATTGTTATTGATATCAATATATCTTTATCAAAAGTTAAAAATTCTGTTCTTCAAAAAAATAGTGCTAAAAGAATGAAAAAAGAAGATTCAGAGTAAGAGAAAATATTTGCCAATCATATTTGTGATAAAAGGCTACATCCAGAATATATAAAGAACTCTCAAAGTAAAAAATCAGCAACAGATTTGAAGAGTTACTTCACTAAAGAAGATAAACCAATGGCAAATAAGGACATAAAAAATGCTAATATCATTAGTTATAAAGGAAACACAAATTAAAACCGCCACAAATTAGAACCACACCAAAATATAATTAAATCCTTATTGGAATCTCTAAAATTAAAAGATTGGCCACATCAAGTGTCAGCAAGGATATGGAGAAATTGGGTCTTTTATGAATTACTGGTGGGCATGTAAATTGGTACAATGACTTTGGAAAACAGATTGTCAGTTTCTCAACAGGCTAAGCATACATCTCCCAAATGACCTAGCCACCCCACTCCTAAATATTCACTAAAACTTAACATTAAATCTGCAAATTTGAATAACCCAACCATGAAAGGGAGCTTCAAATTTGTGGTTTGGTTTTCCTCACAAGAAAATGTTACTCAAATGTTAATGTAGATAAAATACTATGGTTACTTTGAATGTAAGCTTTCTTGTTGCTGGCTGGAGAGCCACATACAGAACTCTAGGTTGAAATATCATTTTATGTCTTTCGTGTCACAACATTATTTAAAGAACATCATTCATTCATTCAACCTTTATTAAATATCAATTCTTATAATAGTTTTTCTCAATGCATGTTTAAATGTCTTAAACACGTCTGAACAAAAATTCATATCAACTTGAGCGCTTTTAGACTCCCTTTGATGATACCATTATTTCGCATAATTGCAAAGTAACTATTCCTAAAATCTGAAATCCTTTCATAGTTTAACTACATTTGGAGTATGTTTTCCCTGGCATAGCTCAGTTTTTCATATGATGTCTAGTTCATATTTTCTATTGTGTAAAAAATTGCTTTTTAAAATAAATGCATCTTCATTCTGGAGTCTTTAAGACAAAAATTTTAGGCATCAGAAACCTGACTGATTACTTTCAGACCAAAAACCAATTCAGTTGTTTCCTTTGTGTTGTCGTTGATCTGGACATGTGTAGAAGCTGAGTTTACAGATCAGTAGGTGAGATATGAAATATACATTGGATCAAGTCCCTATCATGGAATCAGGGAAAATCAGTTTGCACTCCAATAAAAACAGAACTTGTTTTCGAATTCCCCAGCTTCCAGTAAGCCCTAGTGCTTCCATTTGTTTGGTGAAGCAGCCCAGCCTCACACTCTCCTGCTGTTGTAACAGTCTTTGTCTCTGCCTCTGCAGTGCAAAGACCAAAGGAGATCTCAGAAAAAGGGACTGGTAGCTGTGTCTCTTGCATTGGGGAATTATACATGATTTCACAGTAAGAAAAGACATCAGATCTTTCTAGTCCCCTTTGTTTCCTCTCTCTAAGTTTTACAGCCCTTTTTATCTGTAAATAAAAAAAAAAAGTTGTACATACATTTTCAAAATGTGCTGCTTAATGCAACTTCATACATTTAGGAAGTTGAAGCTGCCCTCTGAGGTATAGCCTGACAGCTTAAAATCCAGAAATCAATCATTTAGATATAATGATGGTATGCTATTGCTCCCAGTATGTATTGCAGCACCCAGGAATCACTTATTTGAGATATGCCATCATAACTCTGATAGATTAAAGCACCACATCGAGGAAACAATTGTGTGTTGGGGCAGGGGGATGCTATCATAGATCTGTCATGTTACAGCCCAGAATCCAGCAGCCAACCAGGCAAGTCTGTGCTGAATCGGAGCTTCCAGAAACCTGTGAAGCAGCAGGATGACAGTTCTGTTCTTCAACAGCCCATTATGAACTAATTAGCATACATGAATTGCAGATTTGAAGCATTAAAGTGATGTACAAATCATTAATTTTTTGTCAAATCTGTGTCATCCTTGTGTATGCCTTCCTATTTTAATGTTGCATGACAGTGAAGAGAGGTACAATCCTCTGTATATAAAGAGGAGAGATTTGGTGTAGCTGATATAATGAGATCTATTTAAACAGTATGTATTTTTCAGCTTTGAGTATATCTGCTTGGGGAAAAAAAAATGCTACACTTGTCCCATTAGGGTTAATTGTGAAAGGATGTTAATATATTCAAAACCCCAGGGGTAGTTCTACATATTGTTTGAATGAAACAGGGGATGTAAGACCAACTTCACATTTGAGCTTTCTTTTATAAAAGTCCTCCTTCTGAGTAATAAAAGGAGCCATTTCACTGACTATGGAAGGTGTAACTATCTAGAATAAGAGCTCAGCTTTTAGGTGTGTTAAAGCTCCCATGCAGCAAGCTGATCTATTCTTGTTAACCCAATGCCAAATTTAATTTATAAAGATGTATAATGTAATGCAGTGGAAAAGGGAAAACAACATCAAAGCCGACTTTCATACTGCAAAAGGCTTCTAAGTATTAATTTGCAGTTGTCTGTATTGTCTCTATGTATTTAATTACGAAAGCTATTTGTGCTTAAACAAATGCTTGGTATTTCATTTGAATTTCTTATTTCATATTATAGTGGAAATTTGTTAGTACTGTAATAGTTTCCATGGTAACAGAGTCTAATGTTATACATAAATATGAATGTGGTATGTATACATGTGTGTATTATAAATACGTGCTATAGGTGATTATGACTGTATTCCAAGAACACATCTCCAGAGACTTAGCTCTCAAGGAAAACCCTAATTTAAAATGCTGGTATATTTTGTGACTCTAAAGAAATGGTCACAAACTGAGTTCTCCTTTTAGTATGGGAAAAATGTAAGTTCTGAGAAGTGGGAAGATACTTGCTTTCCCTCTTCTCATAAGTTTTCTTCTGCCTGGGAGCAAAGCCATCCATCCCCAGGGTCCATACTCTATGGACCTCTTCTCTTCTCCCTACCTGTTTCTCCACCAGCCTTTTTAACTACACAAAATCTAGATTAAATGAAAACCAAGGCCAAACTGCAAGTGAGGTTGGGGGTGGAGTGCCCTTCCAGAGGAAATTATACTTAAAAGCCTGAGAGATGCATAAAGAATAATATGCCCATCTCTATCAATAGGGATTATTTTCAGCTTCATGTAACAACAGTGATAACAACAATATAACCACTATGGTGGCTTAACTAAGTAGGGGCTTATTTTTCATAAATCATCAGAAATCTAGAGATAGACAAGCTCAGCCTGGTAAGGAGGCGCCACAATGCTCTCAGGGACTCAGATTGCTTAAATTCTCACTGTGTGAGGCAATAATCTTTATGCTCATAAGATGGCTGCTGCCCCACTGGACATCACAATTTCCAGGCTGGAAAAAGAGGAATAAACAAAGGGCAAGTGCCTGAATCACTTGGGCTTCTCTCTTTCTATCCCCCCACCCTCTTTCTTTTTTTCCTTTTTCTTTTCTCTCTCTCTCTCTCTCTCTCTCTCTCTCTCTGTCTCTCTCTCTCCCTCCCTCCCTCCCTCCCTCCCTCTCTCCAGTCTTTCTTTCTTGTAAAAATTGCATTTTCAATATTGGATGCCACACAGTTGTGTTTTGATGGATATTCACTTTGGTTCCTTGGTGTTAACCAATGAAGTGTCAAATGACCTCCAGGAACTTCACAAAATATGAAATGCTTCATGAATTTGTGCATCATTCTTGTAGAGGGGCAATACTAATCTTTTCTGTATCACTCCAATTTTAGTAGATGTGCTACAAAATTGAGTTTGAGTTTGTCTCTTTTTAGTGATAAACAATAACTTTCCAGGAACCTCTAAGCCAAAGTCCATGCTTACTTATTTGTCATTGGCCAGTCTTGTATCATATGGCTACCAGCAAGGGAAAGGAAATTTGTGGAGTGAGTCATTTTAACTCAGCCTAATATTGCACATAGTAAAATGAGGATCCTCTTAGTAAAGAAGAATTGAAACATGGTCATTAAGTGGGCAATGAGCAGCTGTCATCTTCTGTGATAGATTTTTCCATGTGACTTCATCAAAATACACATGGATGTAGGGAAAAGGACCCTTTGCATCAAGAGAAATCACTACATGTATATTCTGGCACATGGTTAGACACCAGCTGGACATTACTAATTTCTTGCTATTTCTTGAATCTTCTGTTTGCATACTCAGCCTCCTCTGTTTACTCCCTCTAATTTGGGGTACTGATTGGCATTTTAACTTTTGTCTGTTCACTTGGTACCTCTACAACACTAGTGAGATTGTAGCTTTGTGCACAGTTTGATGTGTTTTTCAGAAACTTTGCAGCAGAGTGCTTGTTTTAGTCTGTTTTCATGCTGCTGATAAAGACATACCTGAGACTGGGCAATTTACAAAAGAAAGAGGTTTAATGAACTCAGTTCCACATGGGTGGGGAGGCCTCACAATCATGTCAGAAGATAAGGCTGAGCAAGTCACATCTTACATGGATGGCAGCAGGCAAAAAGAGAGCTTGTGCAGAGAAACTCCCCCTTATAATACTGTCAGATCTTGTGAGACTTATTCGCTATCATGAGAACAGCACAGAAAAGACCTGCCCCCATGATTCAATTACCTCCCACCAGCCCCTGCCACAACACATGGGAATTCAAGATGAGATTTGGGTGGGGACACTGATAAACTATGTCATCGCATCCAAATCTCATGTCCTCACATTTCAAAACCCATCATTCCTTTCCAGCAGTCCCCCAAACTCTTAATTCATTTCAACATTAACTCAAAAGTCCACAGTCCAATGTCTCATCAGATACAAGCCAAGTCCCTTTCACCTATGAGCCTGTAAAATCAAAAGCAAGCTACTTACTTCCTAGATACAATGTGGGTACAGGCATTGGGTAAGCACTATCATTCAAAATGGGAGAAATTGGCCAAAACAAAGGGGTTATAGCCCCCATGCAAGTCTGAAATCCAGCAGGGCAGTCAAATCTTAAAGCTCCAAAATGACCTCCTTTGACTCCACGTCTCACATCTAGGTCATGCTGATGCAAGAAGTGGATTCCCTTCATCTTGGGCAGCTCTGCTTCTATGGCTTTGCAGCATACAGCCTCCCTCCCAACTGCTTTCATGGGCTGGCATTGGGTGTCTGCAGCTTTTCCAGGCACATGGTGCAAGCTGCTGGTGGATCTACCATTCTGGGGTCCAGAATATGGTAGCCCTCTTCTCACAGCTCCACTAGGCAGTGCCCCAGTAGTAATTATGTGGTGGGGGGCTCCAATTCCATACTTTCCTTCCACGCTGCCCTAGCAGAGGTTCTCCCTCCATGAAAGCTCTGCCCCTGCAGCAAACTTCTGCCTGGATATCCAGGTGTTTTCAGACATTCTCTGAAATAAAGACAGAGGTTCCCAAACCTCAATTCTTGACTTCTATTTCACCCATAGGCTCAATACCATGTGGAAGCTGCCAAGGCTTGAGGCTTGTATCCCCTGAAGCCATGGCCTGAGCTGTACCTTGGCACCTTTTAATCACAGCTGGAGTGGCCCCAAGTCTTTAGACTGCACACAGCATGGGACCCTGGGCCTGGCCCACAAAACCATTTTTTCCTCCAAGGGCTCTGGGGCTGTGATGGAAGGAGCTGCCATGAAGACCTCTGACATGCTGTGGCGACATTTTCTCCATTGTCTTGGGGATTAACATTCAGCTCCTTGTTACTTATGCAAATGTCTGTAGCTGGCTTAAATTTATCCTCAGAAAATGGGATTTTCTTTTCTATTGCATTGTCAGACTACAAATTTTCCAAACTTTTATGCTCTGCTTTTCTTATAAAACTGAATGCCTTTAACAACACCCAAGTCATATCTTGAATGCTTTGCTGCTTTGAAATTTCTTTCACCAGATACCCTAAATTATTACTCTCAAGTTCAAAGTTCCACAAATCTCTAGGGTGGGGCAAAATCCCACCAGTCTCTTTGCTAAAACATAACAAGAGTCACCTTTGCTCCAGTTCCCAACAAGTTCCTCATCTCCGTCTGAGACCACATCAGTAATTGTTCATATCACTATTCATTTTCATGCTGCTGATGAAGACATACCTGGACTTAGCTCTTTACAAAAGAAAGAGGTAATAGACTCATAGTTCTACATGGCTGCAGAAGCCTCACAATCATGGCAGAAGGCAAGGAGGAGCAAGTCACATCTTACATGGATGAGAGCAGGCAAAAAGACAGAGAGCTTGTGCAGGGAAACTCCCCCCTATAATATCATCAGATCTCATGAGACTTACTCTCTATCACAAGAACAGCATGGCAAAGTCCTGCCCATGATTCAATTACATGCCACCAGGTCTGTTCCACAACACACGGGAATTCAAGATGAGATTTGGGTGAGGACACAGCCAAACCAAATCAGTGGTCGGGAGCTAAAGAGTCACACAGAACTAGGTTCAAACTTGAGCTTCATCTCTTATAACCTGTGTGATTCTAAGCAAGTTCCATAACTTTTCTAAACTTTGATTTCCTCATCTAATAAATTAGTAAAATAAAAATACCTTCCTCACAGGGTTTCTATGAGGAGGAAACAAGTCAATGTACATAAAGCATCCAGAGAAATACCTGATCCATGGCAAGCATATGAGCAATTTAACTGTTATTATAATAATTTCTGTTAGTCAAGGTGACCTGGATTAAAATCACAGATGTGCCATTTTCTTAGACAACTTACTAAAAGTCTTTGTTTCTCAGTGGATCATATGGAAAATTACTACTTGGCAAGGTTATAGATTGTAGATATGTAAAGTACCCAGTAAAGTGGCTGATGAATAGTAGGAATGGTAAACCCTACCAGTTACCTGGCAATATGCATTCTCTTTCTCCCTTACTGTCAGAAGTTCATACTGTTCAGAACAGTGATATGCTTTGCTAAAATAACTTCACCTACATTTGCAGCTAGGGGATGACAAAGTTCTGGCCAATGTAAGTGGATTTCCCAGGAGAGAGCTTTCTTTCCTTAATAAAATGACAAAGGCTTATCTTGGGAAAGACCTTTCACCTCTCTCCTTCATCTTTGTGCACCTGGAGATGCTGCTGCCATCTTCAAAGCATGAGGGCAAGAGCCACAAACAAATGATGACAGAGCAGGAAGGTAGACTTTGGGTGTCCGAGAGCATTGGTGATCTTCACATTTCCCAACTCTAGATTTATAATATGAAGAAAACAAACCTAAGTGCCTTAGGCCAATATTTCCTGAATTTCATTTTACGTGCAGCCAAATGGAATGGGTTTTTGATACAGGTTTTTGTCAGGTGAAATTTATATTAACAGCAATCATCATCATCATCATCGTCGTCATCATCTTGTATCTATGACAGGACCCCAGGATATCCATACTGGTGTTCTGTTCTTATAGCACTTACCAAAGGATCATGGCTTTGTGAAAGAAACTTAGCAGGAAATATTGATAAGAACTCCCCTAGGGTCTTCATTTTTCTGGAGAGAAGAGGAAAAATCCTAACAGCCTCTGGGACTTGGGGGCAAGGACCAGGCAATAGTCAGACCAAGTCATAGGATCCTGAAATGACTGCTAATCCTGGAGAGCCCTGTGCTTACACTGAATCCCACTGAATCCCTATGGATCTGTAGTCTAGATATCTGCGATATTTTTACCCTCTAATTGCCCATAGGCACCTGGGTAACATTAAGAACAACTGGGATGAGGCTAAAGTGAGATCAAATGCTGAGAACAGGATAATGTTGCAAATTATTTTGTCTATAATAGTAACTACCTATAATTAAACATGGGTGATGAACAACCATCTCCCCCACAACCTCTTTACTAGTTTATATTGAAAGCAAATCACTGACCAAATTTGGCCACATATAAATATGTATATTAAACCTTTATTAGGAAGCAGTCACAAAACAGCTCATGTGACCTATTCTACAAATTTGATGAAATTCCAACTGTTGGCATTTTAGGTATTCTAACTGCACTGGTGTGTGCAATGTTCACTTAAAGCAGATATAATCGTATTCTAGAGGCAGGGTTAAATTAGTCTTATAGTGGATATCAGGCAACTGAGGAACAAGTCAGATTCAGGACAGTGCGGAAATCAGTCTCCAGAAAATATCCCTAAAGATATAGGATAAAGCATTTTCCACATTTTTATTCTATTTATGCAAGCAGGGAGATCCTAGAATATTTTACACGTCTTAAACATCACAATTTTCACCAGTTAAGCCCCACTTCTAGGGAATTTTCACCAGTGAAAACCCATTTTTAACACGCATTCTGCTAATTAAGAATACTTTGGTGGTGTTGGGAGATTAAGATAGCTGAATCACCTCTGGAGAGTGGGTTTCCAACTAGAAGTCTAGATGATGACACCTAGGGTATGAATTTTTGGTTTGGGCAAATGGCATGCCCCTCAAGTATAGCTTAAGCTGGTTGACATTCACATAATTTTATATTTACTATAAAGTAAGAGGAAGTTTAAATTACAGACATTCTGTTAAGTAGTCCATGCAATTAGTAAAAGACAAAATCAGAAGCAGACCTTGTATTCTCTGACTTCCAAATTTCAAAGTCTTAAAACTCTAGCATCCCAGCTCACTGTTAATCTGACAAATTGTCCACTCTCATTGCCTTAAGAAGTAGCCTTTTCTAAGTTAGACTATAGCAATCTGCACATGGAAAAAGGCAGGGTTAAAAAATAGAGCATCAGACAGTAAAAGTTTGGATTTATAAGAGGTGGTCAAATGTAAAATAACAAAGCTGGATCCTAGAAAACTAAAAG